TTGGGGTGTGACAGGTAGGTACGGAGGTGGTTTAGAGGATGGGCTCTCCATCACAGGGGGTTGGAAACAGCTGTGGCCAGTAGGTTGGCCCCCTACTATAATTGATGGATGCCAAACAGACAAACACAGAACTGAGGAAAACACGGTTGGGACAGGGGTGAACAATCCGTTCCACTGGGAACTCAGAATCTAGGAGCTGAACTAAACACATATGCCAAGAGAGCAAATGCAGGGTAGACCATGATACAGCATAGCAGCTTAAGCAGAATGCTGTAGGAACCTCACAGAGGCAAACACACAAAGTCATAGAAAGCTTTCTTAAATGGGAGATTGCCATTCTCTTCAACGCTCAACTAGAATCACTTCGAAATCATTCCACCCCAGTAATAGATGTTGCCCTTACATACATGGAAGGACACAAGTCAAGGCCTAGCCAAGCTCCTGGCATAGAAGAAACATTAAATGAAAGGTAGTTCCCACTTGTCTCTCACAACGTGCTGTCATTTCTGTGTTGCTAGCCATCACCGACTTATTAAAAGGCCAATAAGTCATTCTTGCCCCAAAAGGAAGCTTTTTTTTTTCTTTCTTTCTTGCAATTAATGTTGGTAACCAACTTGTTTCATTGTTGTTCACATAGTTCCCATTTCTTAAATAAAAAGTCACACGGGGTCAAAGAAAATGCTGGAGTTCTTTTTGGTTGATTCCTGATTAGCTGGTGTGTGATGGCAAGAGAAGCAGCTCAGGATTGCCCATGCCGGGACCACTCTGGTGCTGACCACACCTCTGTCTTCTCGAGGTCACATGTGCATCTCCCTTGTACCAGTGGGATCCCAGCCAGCCACTGTCATTCCTGGGAGGACAGGAAAACAGGATTTTCCTAATGAATCTGGCAAAGAATCGCAGACTGCAGGCAGGGGGATGCTTGGAATGTTCTGTCAACCACTAGTAAACAGCAACCCCCTACGCTAGGGTGGTGACAGGGCTTGGGAGAGAGGCAGAGAGGCTGTTTCCCATTAATGCGTAGCCTTATGGAGGAAAAAGCTGACGAAGAGGTAGCAAATAATTAAAAATGATTTTTCTCATGCAAAAACCATGCAGATTCACTGTCCTTAGAGTGAAGGTATAGGATTAAAAAACATTTGTGATTTCTCTCTTAATCCCCAGGATTATAAATTTTCTGTCTGGGCTGGTGCCAAATCGCGTAAATCAACAGTTAACAGATACCTCTTGCATTTTATTCCCGAGAGACTTTGCTCTGCTGCTCCTCACCATCACACAATGATGTTGATGACTTCTGTTTTTCGAATGTTTATCATGTTCCAATCATTCTGTTAGGCTTTTGACACACGATTTCTATTTCTTGTGCTCTATCCCTGCTTCTCAAACTTTCCTATAAGAATCATCTGGACACTTACTGGACATTTCCCTAAAGTATAGATTTCTGGGTCTCAACTGTAGTAATTAGAAATTCTGATTGTGTCAGACGCGGATCAGGCTCAGGCACTTTCGGTCAAACCCCCAGTTAATCTTAAATGAAGTGGTCCATGGAATGCACTTTGAGAAACGGAGCTCAAGTTCCTGGTTAAAAATTACGCAGACTAGCCTCTGAATTAACATATAGCATGTCACTATCTAAAAAATAAGGTTTTTGGTACCTGTGGACATCAACATATGCATATGTTTACATAGTTATTATTGTCTGACTTTCAGAACGAGTTAACAAGAAGGACTTCAAGGTTTTATCAAGGACATTAATCTTTAAAAAAAATTAGAACTGGTAGTGTTTTTCAGACTAAGAAAAACATCAAAGAATATCTAAGTCAGCTAAAGGAAACCTTATAGTAGGTCATCACAAAAGAGCCCCAAAGCAAGGAGGGAGGAGGGTTATTTTAGGTCCTTGAAAAGGCAGGGAATTAAAGAAACAACGGTTTTGTCTTTTTTTTTTTCCTTTTTTCTTAAGAGGCCATTGAGCATTCTTTCTCTGGTCATCGCACATCTGCCCTGATGACTCAATAATCTGAGTTCCTTCCTGAGTCTGTGAAATCCCTTCTCTTGGACTCAGAGAAAGGCGGGGACAGTCGGGCACCCAGGGCTGGATCTTGGCGCACGTTCCCTGGCCAGTGCTGGATTTCTAACGGCATCATGCTCCAAGTTGGTTTAAATCATATTTTATATCACATATCACAGAAGCAGCAGATAGATATTTTCCTCTGTGTTTAAACCTCCCCAAATCAAGCAGGTAGGAGGAAGGGACTGAAGTTGCATGAAAGCGGGGTGGGCGGTGATGAGAAGGAATGTGATTCTTCCTACAGTCAAAATAAAACTGATGCAGGTGGTTTCTGAGTTACAAAGCCCTGTTAGGAAAAAAATTCCTTTTTTTCTAAAAACACAACAACCAACATATGCATACATGCATATATAGAAGACATGAGACTACACGCGGATGTAGAGCTGGTTTCTCACGTGCCACGTCCACGGTCTCGTGGCTGTGTACTGCTCACCAGTGTGGCACATTGGCCCAGTGGACCGACCTTACCAACTTTTATCCTCGTTTGGGGAAGCACCGCCCTCCCCTTTGCCTCTTGTCTTCTTACATTATAATTCAGACAGCCACCCCCTCATACTTATGTATCTTTTCAACCTTACCTCCTTCATCATTATTCTATTCTCAAATCTTCAGAAAAATCTCCCAGCTCCTCCACCGCCTTCTATCCTGTTTTCATTCTGCTTGTTCATTTCAAATGGCCTTAGTCATGGCTGGAAAGCAATAGAGTAGGGCTAGTGATGTATCAGTGCTGGAGAAAGAGGGAAGCCAAACAGTTTGAAATGAGGTTGTCATGATAAAGAGACAGGGCTCCGAAACCACAAAAGTCTTCAGAATTGCAAAGTCATCTTCAGAATCCACAGTAGCTCAATCTCATCAGCTTCCTCTAATTAAATCTGCCTTTATCAACCTTTCTGCTGAAACGCAATCTCTCATTAAACTTTATTTGGGTGGGTTTAGCTTAGTTCCTAGCATTGCTTCAATGTTTTGTTTTGTTTTTTTCCTACTACAACCATACGGCATTTCAGTTACATTATAAAACTTCTGTGGGTTTGACCCAGAAACCCAACAATATAACATTGTTCTAATCAGTTTGCTGGCTGATAAATGATCTTGCAGGAACATTTGGCTCCACATGTGTCTGCAGAGTACTGGGCATATATAGGTGTTCCACAAGAAAAAAAGTTATTTCATTGAGTTGACAAATTGAGGACAAATGGGAATTGCATGTCATTGAAACACTCTGTCCCTGAGAGACGAGTTTATGGCAAGAAGTAATGTCACCACTGCATAGGACTACGATTTTCCACAAAAGCCTCTGTGATTCATTTTCTTTTTTTCTCATCTTACTCCCTCAGCCTGGAGGTGATGTCCTTTGCCTCTGCCTAGACACAATGCAGCTGTCCTTCCGGGTGCCCCCCACAAAGCCTTCCCTGGCGGCTCCAGCCCACAGAACACTGTTAGTACAAATACCAGTGGTGGGAGCTGCCAGTTCCTGCACGTTCCCTCTGTGCCAGTACTATGGCTTTCCTAGGACAGGAGCACTATCCTTATCCCCATTTTGTCCGAGAGGAAATTGAGGTGGACAGAAGTCAAGTAAAACAACTAGAAAGTGGCAGAAGCACCCCAAATTGGGATCTGTGCCTTCCTCGAGCACCTGATCATGCTGTCCTGTCTGCCCCATCTCCCCGATGTGGTTTCCTTGGATGCATTATAGATAATGCAACACACAGCATTGGATTATATTGTTTTTCTTCTCCAGCACTAGTGTGTTTGGCTTTTTTTGCTTTCTTAGCCTATATGCTCCTTGTGGTTAGCGTTCAGAGCAGGGGTCTTTGGCCAGATTCTGCAACTTCTATCTGCATGCCTCCCGGAGCCCCAGCATCCAGGGCACCCCCTCATAGGACTGTGGTGAGGATTACGAGAAAATAATGCATATGAAGGGTTCAGACTGGGGTCGTCCATGGTGAGAGTGCAAATAACTTTATGTATTACTGGTGTTGTGGCAGTGAGCACAACCCTAAATCCATGGTGTGACTAAGAGGTTTTCTAAAAATTCATTCTGCAGGGACTCCAGTCTGCTCTGCCATCCACGTTTGGCTCCGTGGACTTGACTTAGCCAACACCCTCTCCCTCTCCCCAACTCATCAGCAAAATTGAACACTTTATGTCTTTCTTCCACCCTCCAGAGTACAAGGACTTTTGCCCTTGAACAGACCTGGCAGCCGTCTAATTACTGCTGCCAGGGAAACATGCAGTGGGCGAGGAGTATCTGTTCATTCCAGTCTGGACTCTCCCACTGACCTCCTCCTACTCTCGCTTTTAGGCAAATCCCACTCCCAGCCTTAGTTTCCCCATCTGTCACAAGAGAGGATAGACTAACTGACCTCTAAAGTCTCCTTGAGCCTATAGCTAAGACTCTTAGAGGTCTTTTTTTAAACAAGGAAATCCCAAGCACTAAGCTGTTGTCACGGGCACCGTTTTCTGCTCTTCACACCTTCCCTGATTGTGTTTTTGTGAAAGAGTATGGATGTATGGGTGTTTGTGTGTTTTATGTGAATGTCTTTGTGCATGTGTGTGTATATGTGTGTGAGTTTGTATGTGACTGTATATGCGTGTGTTGGTGTGCGTCTGTGTGTGATTATACATGAATGTGTGTGCATCTGTATATGAATATTTGTTTTGTGTATGTGTGTGTGTGCACATTAGCACAGGGTCAAAGCCGTCCAAACCCAAGTGACAGGAAAAGAGAGAAGGGTGTCCAGCTCACCTGTGCCTTTAGGGCGACCCACCCAGGCAGGGCCCGCACGAGGCGGGTGAGCTAGGCTCCCCACCCAGGTGCCGCCCCCCGGCGGAGAGAGCCAGAGCCTGGAGGCCGCCTAGCAGGAGGGGCGGGGCGGAGGGCGGGGCGAGGCGGGCGGTGGGCGGGGATCCGGGCGGGGCGAGGCCGAGCGGTGGGTGGGGCGGGCGGCGGCGGCTCCGGGCATGCTCGGCCGTGGTGGCAGCGAGCCGGGCGGGTCGCGCTGGTCCCCGGCCGGCCGGAGCGGCGGCGGCGGCGGCGCGGGGCAGCATGAGGGAGCCGCTCGGTAAGTCCCGGCGTCTCTCGCCCCTCCTGACTCCCGCCGTCCGTTTAGCCCGCTTCCATGGCGCTATGCGGGCCTCGCCCCCAGCCTCCCGCGCTCGCCCCCAACTTCTCCAGCCCGGACGTAGCTCCGGTGCGAGCCTCCCCCAGCTTTAGGGGATGTCCGCACCCCGCCCCGGGCGTCCCGCACGGTGCCCAGGCCGGCCGCCGCGGGCCCCACGCCCGCAGCCTCGGGGTGAGGGAGCGCCCGCTTTGCGGGGAGGGGGCGTCCCCGCCCCTCAGGCGTCCAGCCGGGGTGCGGGACTCCGCCGAGGGCCGCGGCTGGCGTTAGCGCTCGCGTGGCCCCTTGCGCGGGGAGGGCGCGGGACGGCGGGGGTCGCTGTCTCCCCTCTCGGCGTCCTCCCCGCCAGCCCGGCTCCAGCCAACCCCCCTTTCGCCTGCGCGCCCCGACTTCGCGGACATCACCCCAGGAACTGACAGCCGCTGCTCAGAGTCCCCGAGGTCCCCGGTTCCCACGGTGGCCGCCTCCCCCCTTCCCCCCTCCGCCGCCCCCGGCAGTCCGGACCAGCCCGCGGGACGTTGAGAGCTCGCCGCCGCGCCCCGCGCTCCCTGCTCGGGTCTCCGCCGGGCCTTGCGCGCCCCGCTCTGCGGAGTCAGGACCGCGGATTCGGGCGCTAACCGCCCTGCTTCCCAGCAAGTGCCTGGGGCGGCCCGCCCCGGCCGCTGGTGGTTAAGCAAAAAAAAAAAAAAAAGGAAAAGAAAAGGAGAGAGAAAAGGGTGGGAGAAAGGAAAGAGCCCCGCCTGAGAGTGCTGTAAATCTCGTTAATCAGCTCGTTTGTGGGATCTGGAGCCTGCCTGCCTGCCCGCCTGCCCAGGTCTCCGCACTCCGATCTCTTGAGCACCCTCGTTCCCCCCACCCTCCAGTCGCCATCAGATCACCCTAGAATGCTAGGGTTTGCGTAGATGCCCTGGCCACAGTGGGGTTCAGCACCTACAGCTGAAAACTCCCTTCTTGCTCCTTGTCATTGAGGTAGCGCCCAGCGCCTCAGATATTTCTGGGGGTTTGCAAAAGAAGCTGTGATTTCACTACTGGAGAAAAAATTAAAAAAACCTAGAACTCTACGCCAGTGCAACCTGGTCATGCCCTGTTCTTTGCTCATCCACACTCTCTAGGAGCAGAGGACTTTGGGGAATTAGCTTAGGCAGATCACCCTCCCCTCCACCCCCACACCCTGCCACCCTCATTCCCATCCCCTGCATCTCCTCCCTCTACCCCCATGCTCGCCTGTCCCTCCCTTAATCTAGTTGCCTGGCCTGTCTTGGGGAGAGGGATGAAGTAGTGTGGACCATACAATTGGGAGGTTTTCCCTATATCTTCTTGTCTTCCTTCTCTGACTTTTTGTCTTTTTAGGTTTGCAAAGAAATTTGAGATGAGGGTTGGAAGATGGTGTGTGTGTGTGCGTGTGTGTGTGTGTGTGTGTGTGTGTGTGTGTGTGTGGTGGGGACTTGGGTTGGGGGGGAGGGAGAGGATTCCTGGGAGAAGAGGGACATAGGATTCAGGCAGCCAGAAATACTTAGACCAAAATGGCAGACTCAGTATTCACGTGAGTGGTTGCAGGCTAAACTTCAGGAAAACAGTGCCTGATGTCAGGCAGTTTTAGAATTTAAGGTGACTGGATTAAGACCATGCAGCAAGGCAAGTGTGTATAGTTGTTTTAGAAATCACATGCAAATTCTATTTCAGGGGACTTGTGATGGTTTGCATGTGAAATTGGGAATTCGGTAAATTCATTTGGTTTCTCATAATGTTGTGTGGGTTTGAATTTTTACCTTGATATTAGGTGTCTCAATCTTGGCCACCAGCTGAAGAGCAGTCCTGAAGGTCCCTAACTATTACTCTGGGCAGACAGCATGTAGCAAACAGTTTCACTCCCCCAAGAGTGGGTGAGCAAATATTTGTTGAAGGAGGCCTTAATCTGCTGGGCCTTCCTCCTGGCAAACTTCACCCCTGTGCTGAAGAGAATGGAAGGTCAGGCCCTTGGCAGGCCCAAGAGATTTAAGGGGGTTGGGTGGGTGGAGAAAGTCTGTGCCAAAAAAAAAAAAAAGAGCGAGAGAGAGAATTTTGTCTTTCTACCTCCTTGGACTAAAACTTCAAGTATTCACATGCTCTGGAGTGCTTGACAAGCTTATCAGAGTTATCTAATGACCTATCTGAGTAGTCACAGACTCCAGAGGTATAGGGCTTATCGTTCAATAGCTAGAAAATGTAACTAGAGATTGGAAGTACATAAGGAGAATAAATAAGGACCAGTTTTTCAGTTAAAACACACACACACACACACACAAATCTGAAAAGATCCTTAGAGTATAATTTTTTTTAAGTGCAGTTTAAAAATAAACTAGAAATGCTATCAGTAAAGAAAGCCCAGAAGTCTTTGGTTCCGCCAAATTCTCATTGTCCTTGCTAGAGAGTCCTCTAGTTTGGGAGGACAGTAAACACCAACCCTGCTGTAGGAGTCCAGAGTTTCTCTTTTAATGAGCTTGGCGGGACTTCACGCTAATTAATCTAGGGAGAGTTTAGAACACAGAGCGTTGGATTTGAAACAATTGTTCTGTTGTAGTTTTTACTTTGATAAGCAAAGACTGTCTCTCTGAAATCCTATTTCAGGCCTATTGCTGAACCCATTACTGCAGTTTATTTGGTTTTTTAACAGATGTTGTTTTTCACCTCTTGGATGGCAAGGGTTATCTCACTCATTAAACCTTGTTATTGTGCTTTGTTTCAAGAGTCTATTGAGTTAAGGAATGCTGAGGGACACTCACTTGCTGGGGCTCGCAGCCCAGGGGAGGCGAGGTCAGTCTCCAATACTTTGATAGAGCCTTTAAACGCTAAAAGTCATTGAAAAACTATAGGAACTGCCCTGATACTAAAACCTCAATTATCTCGATTTAAATTGATGGTATCTTGTTTAAAATTGGGATTATTACCTTTACTGTCTTTAAGTATATTTTCCAAAAACTTTCTGTAGACAATATAGTTGGGAACAGCCAGGCCAAACTGGTAAAGATTAATTATTAGACCACAAAATATCCTTGTAATTTGCTGCTTTTTGGTGATCTCTCTATAGCTTACCTCTAAGCTTGTTTCTTCTGTATGTACATGAAATAATTTGTTATAAAGGGACACCAAGATATATTTCAAAGAAGAAAAAAAAGGGGAGAGACAGAAAGCAACTGTAGGTGTATACAAAGAAGAGTAGGAGAAATGGAAACCAAACTCTTGGTGGTGGTTATCTCTTGGCACAGTGGGGTTACTGGAACTTTTACTTTTTACCAAAACACTGAATTTTGCAGTGTTTACTGCTAGAATAACTTCACGTGACTTTTGCAGTTAGAAAATAATGTACAACTTATATGAAATAATTTAAACTTTAACATTATTATAAGACCTCGGCTCTTTTATCCTAAAGATATTTTAAAAGAAAACTATGTGTGTTCTAAGTTTAATAGACTACATCAGGAATCTTTACACATGGAGTTTGATTTACATGATGGTAGTGGGATTACATTCTAATCTGTTGTAAGTTTTACAGTTATTTTTGCAAATAGCCAAAAATTCCAGAAGATTTAAAAAATCTTATCCAATTTCACTCCTTTTCTTAATGACTGCTAATCTTTCAGAAATGTTAATGAGGTATTTAGGGTCTCATAAAAAGAGGTTGAGGTCGCCAAAGCAATAATTGTGTGGCAGAATTTAGAGGTGAAAGAGGTGACAGGAGTGTGTGTGTGTGTGTGTGTGTTCACACAAGTCTTGGGGGGAAAAGACAGAAAGTTAGAAGAGATAGTATTTATGAAAATAATAAAGTACATAACATTTGGTACTTTCCTTCTCTTTCTCTGTGTTTTGGAATCAGTGCCTTAACACTGACCCAACCCAGCAAGATTAGCATTCCAGGATCCTTTTGATCTCAGACCCAAGTTTTTCACCTCCTTTTTTTTTTTTTTGGTCACCTTAAAGAAACTGAACTCAGTGATGTTTGCTCTACTAAAATTAATGCTTCACAGATTAAATACGCTTTTTATGTTTAGGAGATTTTAACAACTTGAGGGCTCTGGTAAGAGCCGGCCATCACACTGTTGTGCAATGGTAACAACAGTGTGTGAGCGCTTACTGTCCCAGAACTTCACCTGGGACTGTGGAGGTCTTGATTGAATTATTAAGACTGAAAAGAGAAATGGAATCCTACTGCTCATAATAAAACACATAGTTCTGTGATTTAAAAAAAACCCCTAGAAAGCATTAGATGTCCATATATCAGTTAGCAACGTGCCCCACTGCTTTGTTTTAGGTCTTAGCTATTTACCTCTTGTTTAAAGCAAGTACTTATATATTAATCATAGCATTAGACTGAAAAGTTGTCAGTTGAAGAAATATTTACAGTGAACTGCCAACAATTTGAGGGACTAATTACATCTTAAGTATGGAATGTCAGTGAATATAACTGCGAAGTTTTAGGTTTTCTAGAAGAGTAACAATGTCTCATCAAGACCTTTATGATGCTGTTTGTAATCTTGTATTAGATTTTATCAGCAGAACATGTAACTTTTGGCTTACTGGAAACAGGTTATACGACACATGTACCATATACTAGACCCTTATAACCTTATATAATTCACTGTTCGTTTATTCTTTTCTTCAGTGTTTCTTTTATTTTCATTAAGTCTTCCAAATTCTCAAAGATACATTTTCCTAATCCTACTTAAGAAACTGTTCTTAATTTTTTTTCTTTTTTTAAAATATTTGTTTTTAAGGTAAACTCAACCCCCAACATGGGGCTCGAACTCACAACCCCGAGATCAAGAGTTGCCTGTTCTACTGACTGAACCAGCCAGGTGCCCCTAAATTTTTTTCTGATGGTGAAATCATATCAAGTTAAAGTACATGAAAGTGCCAGTATTTGACCATTTTTTTTCCTGCAACATGGCAACTTCCTATGGTTCTAC